CGCCTGTCTTCAAGGCGCGTTACGTTGCTCGAGGCTTCAGTCAGCGACAAGGAGTTGACTTCTTCCAGACCTTCTCCCCGACCCCGAAGATGACCAATCTTCGGGTTCTGCTGCACGTCGCTGCTCAGCGTGACTACGAGCTTCACTCTCTTGACTTCAGCACTGCTTTCCTACAGGGCAGCCTGCACGAGGAGATCTGGCTGCGCCGCCCACCTGGCTTCACTGGGTCGTTTCCTCCTAGTACCCAGTGGAGCCTCCGGTGGCCAGTCTACGGTCTCCGCTAGGCGCCCCGTGAGTGGCACGACACACTGAGGACTACGCTTGCGACTCTTGGGTTTGCTCCTTCTACTGCTGACCCGTCGCTGTTTCTGCGCATCGACACTTCGCTGCCGCCGTTCTACATCCTCGTGAACCTCGACAACTTGGTCTTTGCCACTGCTGATACTAAGGGACTCGCCCACGTGAAGTCGGAGCTGCAGAAGAGACACACGTGCACAGACCTGGGTGAACTGCGCAGCTATCTTGGCTTGCAGATCACCCGGGACAGAGCACGGCGCACCATTACCTTGACTCAGTCACACATGGTGCAGCAGGTCCTTCAGCGCTTCAACTTCACGTACTCCTCGCCTCAGGCCACTCCTCTGTCTACTAGCCACTCGCTCTCGGCTCTGCCTTCGGATGAGTCCGTAGAGCCGAGTGGCCCGTACCCAGAGCTTGTTGGCTGCCTCATGTACCTGATGACCTGCACTCGACCTGACTTGGCATACCCTCTTAGCATCTTGGCACGCTATGTTGCTCCTGGGAGACACCGACCAGAGCACATGGCTGCAGCAAAGAGGGTGTTGCGCTACCTTTGTAGTACGTCGGGCATGGGGCTAGTGCTTGGAGGACGGGCTCGAGTTGTCCTCACTGGTCACGCAGACGCTTCTTGGGTTGACGACTTGGCTACGCAGCGGTCGTCACAGGGTTACACCTTCAGCCTTGGCTCCGGTTCTGTTTCGTGGCGGTCTACCCGCTCATCTTCTGTTCTCAGCTCCAGTTGTGAGGCTGAGATCTACGCAGGGGCCATGGCTGCACAGGAGTTACGCTGGCTCACCTACCTGCTGACCGACTTGGGAGAGGTGCCTCGTTCTCCTCCAGTTCTGTACGTCGACAACAAGGCCATGCTGGCCTTGTGTCAAGAGCACAGACTGGAGCACAGAACGAAGCACATTGCCCTTCGCTACTTTCTTGCTCGAGAGCTGCAGCAGTGCGGTCAGCTTCGTCTTGCTTACGTGGCCTCTCGGGCCAACACTGCTGATATCTTCGCCAAGGCACTTCCGCCTTGTGATCATCAGCGTTTTTGTACTGTTCTAGGCCTTGTGCCTACCTTGCCTCACCTGCTCACTTCTTGACTTTGCTTGTAATGTGATCTATATATTTATACCTGCATGCTTTCACTTGCTAGGTTTTGATCACTATCCTGTTTGTTCTATACTATATAGCTGTGCATGTGAACTGGCCTTGTGGCCGTCTGCTTGCGCTCAGAATGCGTGGTGACGTTGTGTGTCAGAATCCCAACCACTAGACCATTGGGATAAAAGGGCTTGTTTCAGTAGCGGGTCAGTGCGCCCATAACCCCCCAGGCAAACGCGCCTGTAACCCCCCCTAGGATCGATCGGGGATCTCACAGTGTAGCTCTACTGACACCCCCCCACACTGGGAGGCCCAGGACTGAGCACAGTGGCAACGGCCAACATGTGCATACACCGGGATTCGAACCCGAGACCGCTCTGATACCATGTCAGAATCCCAACCACTAGACCATTGGGATAAAAGGGCTTGTTTCAGTAGCGGGTCAGTGCGCCCATAACCCCCCAGGCAAACGCGCCTGTAACCCCCCCTAGGATCGATCGGGGATCTCACAGTGTAGCTCTAATGACATTGTGATCCACCTTGAGCTTGCTTTGCTTCTCTTGACTGGTCTTGTGACCCCTTTTTCGCTCTCCCCCACTTTGCCTATGGGGGTGTGTCAAACTATACTCTACAGTTTGTTTAGGCTGTAGTGGGGTAGTTACTATGGGGCACAGTAAGTTTAGGGTTTCCTACTTGTACCCACCACTTTTCTAGTGCACACACACTTGTTCATTTCAACAGACTATGAATCCCGCATCCTGCGCCATACTAATGCAAGCATCCCGGAGCTCGTTATGGGTGTTGATGCGATGCTTGCCGGTGCCGCAGCGAAGGAGGTGGTTTGGAGGCGGGGGTCCGTGATTGCGGTGTGGTCCGTGCAGTCACAGTTTTTGGGGGTGGAGAAGGGCAACCCAAGCCTGAATCTGACGGCATTGGCGAAGTGTGCTGGTCCAATGCGCCTTGTCGCCTCTATAGGTATCGCTGTCAGCCAGTCCCCCGTGCCATAGCCCGTTAGTGAAAACATCCGCTGCGTGTGGCTTGCAAGCGGATTCAGCTCCATGTCCCTCGTCGCCTGAACTTGCTCCGCGTAACGGCTACCGTGGACCTGTAGGGCGAGGGCGTGCTGCAGCTTGTCGTTCGTCCGTTTAATACGTTCCCGATCCAGCAGCTCACGCGCGTCGGAAGGCAGGGCGGTTTCGCATTCGGCGAGCCAACAGTGTAGCGGTGTGCTCTCATCTCTAGGCAGGAGCATATGGCCGCGCGCGTGAGACAGTGCGGAGTCCGGGGCTAGCGCGAGCGCGGAGAAGAGCAGCGCCGCCTGTGTGAAGCTTGCGACAAAACCGTTAACTCCCTCGATGAGCGGGTCTGTAATGCCTACTCCCCCAAGAGAGGGGGGCAGGGACGCCTGAGCCCATACGCGTGACTGTTCTGCTCTGCCTGCTGGAGCGCGAATGTTGCATGAGGTAAGTAGTGCAATGAGGAGGTCACGGCCCCACTCGGTCCATGTATCCCGGGAGACGAGATTGAGGGGGGTTGTTCGAGTGAGATACGCCACGCGCCGAGAAATGCAGCGCGTGATCAGCAGCGAGGCGACCTGTGGGTCTGCCTGGTCGATGAGTGGCAATGGTTTCGCCAAGTCCTTCAGCTGCCCCGCCAAGAACGTGGCTGCCCCGGCGGCCGCCCCGATAAAACTGTCCAACAGATGGACGCCGTCCTTGCAGAACGGCACCCCTAGAGGCAGCTCAGTTGAATCGCACGTGGCAGCGCTCCATGCTGTACACTTTTGCGGGTTGTGTTTCAAGCCCAGCAATTCCAACCTCGTGGTGAAGTGGTTGAAGGCAGCTACAGTTGCACGTGGTTCACCCACGAATGTCACATCGTCCGCATACGCCAAACAAAGAACCTCAGGGTGTGCTGCTGCAGTGTCGCGAAGTGTGGGGTGAATTCCCGCCGCAAAAAGGAGTGGGCCCAGTGGATCCCCCTGGCGAACGCCTCGTTCACTACGCAGGGGTTCGCTCGCAAAGTTCGAATCCAGGTGCAGACGCGACGGGTTACCGTAGGTCAGGCGAACCAGTGGTAGTAGCGGCGACAGGGTGGGTTCTTGTAACGCGGCTGCAATGCACTGTCGCGAAATGCTGTTGAAAGCATTCGCAATGTCGGTCTGCAGTACCAGGCTGTTCGGGTGGTCGTCCACGTACGTTCGGGCGGCATGAATAATCGCTTCCGCCCCTCCTGGCACCGCCACGCCGTACTGTAGGGGTAGGAAGTGTTCACGTGCAGCTTCGCCCACGACCGAGAGCGCAGCCTTGGCAGCCAGACGCGTCAGGCATTCGCCGATCGCGATTGGTCGGGCACCTCCTCCAGGCTTGGCCAGTGCTATGAGTCGAGATGCTGTGAGCAGGTCCGCCACCGAGGCTGGGAGGTTTCCCCCCATAATTGTGTTTACCAGGGCGTGCAGATGGGTGCTGACGGATGCATTGGTTACTGCCGCGTCGCGAAGATGCTCAAATGTTGTGCGTGATGGTCCGGCCCCCACGCCATTCTCGCATCGCCCAAGGAGCTTCGCAAATTCAGCGTAGGAAATGCCCAGAGTACGGGTGTCGGTTGCTTGCCAAGTCAGCGACTCTGCCCCTGCTGGCGAGTGTTTCTGGCGAAGTTCGTCCAAGATTTCTGGACTTGGTGTGCAGAAAGGTGTTGACTCGAGCGCCTGCACGGCTCGGCGCAGACTGCCACGTTTTGCCAACCCTCCGCTCGACTCAGTACACCTGTCACGTCGGGTTGGTGACGCGGGGGTGGAGGGGTGTTGACCGCGTTTACTGCGTCCTGGTAGAGCTGCGTCCACTCGCCACACTGGAAAGCCCGAAGCCGGGACTTGATTTGCGGCCAGTTTGGGTGCTTTGGCGAGGCTTGGTGAAGGGTCAATCGCGGGAGGAAAAGGAGCAGTCGCCAACCCGCCTCGGAATCAGGGTTTCAGAAGAGGTGGTGTAGGGGAGTCAGGAGTGCAAGCGAAAATAACTGGCACAAATTTGGCTGTAATCGTCTCGACAGTGGCGGTTGTCGATTGTCGCAGAGGGCGGAAATATCCCAGTTCACGATGTCAGCGAACATATCGCTCCTCTCTGCCAGCTCCTGTGGCGAAAAATAGCGGGGCAGCTGCGGGGTCGCGCCTGACGCATGGTGGGATAATGCGGTCCGATTTCTTCGAGCGCGGCTCGATCTCGCTGATTGCTGCCGAGTTGGATTCCAACCCGTTCGATCAGCAGCCAACGGCCCTGCTTGTCCCTCCGTTTTTGCCGTGGGTAAGTTGGCTGCACCTGGTCCTCTCCTCCCCGTTTCTACCCTTGTTGTCTCTGCTCCATCCCCCTCTTCGTTTTCACTCTCTGGCTGCACTTCCACGATATAAGAGGGGTCATTTCTCTCCTCGACTTCATTAGCTGCTACCAGAGCTATTAAAGCCCGACGCCCTGCCACCTGATACCCGTTCTCCGGTCCTCCGCCTGCTCCGCTAACCGCCTGGCTCCTCTCTCCCTGAGCCCCTCGTCCACGCGATGGTGATTGCCGGTGCGCCTGAGCAATCGCCAGAGCTCGTTGCCGCCTGGTCGGCAATGGTCGCCAAGCCTCAGTCTGTGCCCGAAAGGGTGACCACGGTGACGAAGCCCCCTCTGCCTCCGGCTCCGAAGCCCTCGACAACATCCTCTGAAAAGATTCCTCGCCCCGGACCCGCGGCTCTCCTTGTCGTGGATGCGCCTGGTTCAATTGCGACTGTTGTCGCTCAGACTCCTGCAACTGCTGCTGCTATGCCGTCCGCCCCGGCTGTGCCGGCTGATCCCCAGGCGTCCCCTGCTGCACCGCCGGAGTCTGTCGCCGACCCCTCGGCTCCCGTGTCTGCGGGCCTTGTTGCCGCGCCTGAGTCGCCGACTCCTGCCTCTACCTCGTCCCCGCAGGCGGCGTCCGCCACCACTGGCGGCCCGGCCTCATTGGTTGCGCCGCCGGTTGGGGATCCGGCTGCCCCTGTTGTGCCACCGACTGCTCCAGTGGCGCAGCCATCTCGCCCGCCGTCGCCTGGCCGCCGCCCATCTCGCCCCCATTCTCCCGCTCCCCACCCAGATCGTGAGTCCTCACGGCGCCGGCGCAATTCTCCCCGTCGCCACCATCAGCAGGCCCAGTGGCACGCGAACCACGGCGGTCGCAGTGGCTGGTGGGGTCCCCGCGGTCGCGGAGGTGGTGGGGCGTACGATCCGCCCCTGAGGATGGCGGATCTGCAGCGGGCGGTGTCGACTGCGGTGCGTGAGGAGAGGGCCGCCCTGACCCAAGGCAGCTCTCACGCTATCGTGGCCCATGCTGCTCCTCGACAGGCTGTGCTTCCTGAGGATCCGCCGCCTGTTGCACCAGTCCCTCATCAGATTCCAGCCCCGTCGGCTCCCGCTGCGTCTGCCTCCGCTCCTGTTCCTGGGTCTCGGCTTCGTCTGCCGCCCATTCCGCCAGTGGCAGGAGTCGAATTTGTGGCCGCGGGAGGAGGAGCGCAGTATCCTCATCCCGGAGTTGGCGGTTCAGCAACCCTTGCCCTCGAGGAGCCGTTTCAGTTTCTAGCGCAGGCATTACAGCCTCCACAGTCCCGTGTTCCAGAGGCGACTCTCGCCCAGCTCTTCCGCCTCGCGGAGAGCTTTCACGCTCTGCTCCTGATACAGGTTCTCGCGCACTCGTCACTTCCTGCAGTTCCCCCTGAGACGTTCCAGGATCGCCACCGTGAGTCGTGCCTGGACGCAGCCGACCAGCTCGCAGTGCTGCTAGCGCCAGTGCTGGCTGCGCCCGCAGAGGGTGGAGTTGCGGCTGCTGGGCAGCTCGATGAGGCTGTACGCAGCCTGAGGCGCCATTTGCGTGCAGGTTCTGGAGCCGCCGCGATCGGCGCAAGCACGCTTGTGGTCCGGGAGCTGTGGCGGACCCTGACGGGCGTTCTTCACGCCCTTGGAGCTCACCGCATGTAGATGCGGGCTCCGTTTGCCCCATCCCCGCTCTAGGATGTTCTGAAATCTGTTTGTGATGCCATGCGTGTATTGGCTGCGCCTATGATTGTCACTGTGTGGTTTTCCTTGCCGTCCCTCACGCGCGGCCGAAGGCCGCGCCGTCGAGGCGGCCGACGCGAGCGAAAAATTGCAGCCGCCAAATGAATAATGAGCAAAGGAAGCTAGCGCAGGCCCTTAAATAGCTAGGCCACTAAGGGCAGAGGCTAATGGCAGAGGGTAGAGGCTAACCCCCTCTCTCTCTCTCTCTAATGGTCCTTGTATTGATATAGCAGCAAGGTACAAGCATGCAGTGTATGGATGTAACAAACAAACAAACAAAGCACCAATTCCTACTCACTATTCCCCTAGAGCTCCAAGATGGGCTCTACCACCGCAAAACAGTCCCCTAGGTGTAACTCTTGACCAATACCCCCTACAGGCGGGTTCTCTGCTGCTGCCGCCTCGCCCAACTTGAGTAGAAGACCCACTGATTGGGCCCTTTGAAGGGCCACTGACCATCGCTGCCGAAACTGGTGCAGGAACTTGGCGGCATAAAAGGATTTAGAGTCGGCGTTAAAGTGGCGCCAAGCCGCCGTGTCTGCGAGTAGCTTCAGGAAGGTTGGTACTTCCGCGCATGGGCAGCCATAGGTGTCGACTGCCAATGGGAAGAAGCCAACCGTCTCCGGCCGGTTGGCGTAATGCTGGATTTTCTTATCCGCTTGTTCCCGTGCCGCCCATCCCCTGCCTTTCTGCGCCTCTGGGTCCCTCGTACTGATGGGGTCCGTGATGGTGACATCACAGACATAAACCGCCCCACTGCTTCTATCCGTCATGGTAAAGTCGGCGGTTTGTTCCTCGATAGGGCAATGGGCGGCCGACTCGCCGTGAACAATGAAACCTGCGTGCTGCGCCATGCTAATGCACGCGTCCCGTAGCTCGTTGTGGGTGTTGATGCGGTGTTTGCCCAAGCCGCAGCGGAGGAGATGGTTCGGCAGGCGGGGATCAGTGATGGCGGTCTTGTCCGCACAGTCGCAGTTCTTAGGGGTTGAAAAGGGGAGGGCCAGGCGGAATCGAACGGCGTTGGCGAAGTGTACGGGGCCTACCCGTCTGGTGGTTTCAATGGGGATCGCGGTCAGCCAATCGCCGGTACCATACCCTGTCAGCGAAAACATACGCTGCGTGTGGCCTGAGAGTGGGTTCAGCCGCATGCGCCTGGTTGCCTGGACCTGTACAGCGTATCTGCTTCCGTGCACCTTTAGCCCGAGCACATGTTGTAGCCTAATATCCGATCGCTCCAGCCGCTCCTTCTCCAGGATCTCGCGCGCGTCTAGTGGTAAGAATGCATCGGCGTGCTGTCGTCTCTTGGCAGCAGCATGTGGTTCTGAGCATTTGTCAAAGCATTCTCCGGTGCTAGCGCCAGGGAGGACAAGAACAGCGCCGCTTGAGTGAAACTCGCTGTGAAACCGTAGATCCCTTCAACGAGCGGGTCTGTAATGCCGATGCCACCCAGCGATGTGGGCAGCGACGCCTGCTCCCACACACGCGCTTGCTCAGTGCGGCAAGTTGGCATGCGGATGTCGCAGGAGGTGAGTAAGGTAGTGAGCAGGTCCCGACCCCACTGGCTCCAGGTGTCGCGGGGGAGTAGGTGGAGCGGTGTCGTTCTAATGAGGTAGGCTACTCGTCTAGAAATGCATCGCGTGAGTAGCAGCGCGGCTACTTGGGGGTCAGCTCGTTCTATTAGTGGCAGCGGCTTTGTCATCTCGGCTAGCTGTTCGGTTAGGAACTTAGCTGCTCCGCCGTCCGTCCCTACGTAGCTACCCAGGAGCCGTACCCCGTCCTTTTAAACCGGCACCCCGGGTGGGAGTTGTGCTTGTGTGACTGTGATCGAGCTCCAGGCCGCACATTTCTGTGGATTATGCGTCAGGCCCAGCCGTGCCAGCTTGGCTGTGAAGTCTGTGAAAGCTGCTACAGTGCACAAAGTGTCACCCAGGAAGGTGACATCGTCCGCATACGCCAAGCATAGCACGTTGGGGTGTGCCTCTGTAATCTCACAGAGCGTGGGGTGTATTCCCGCTGCAAACAGTAACGGGCCTAGTGGATCTCCCTGCCGAACGCCCCGTTCACTTTGCAGCGGTTCGCAGTTGAAATCAGTGTCGAGGAACAGCTGCGACGGGTTACCGTAAGTCAGTTTTACAAATGGCTGTAGTGGCGAGAGTCCGGGCTCCTGTAACGCAGTGGCGATGGCACGTCGCGAAATGCTGTTGAATGCATTCGAAATATCGGCTTGGAGGACCAGGCTGTCGGGACGGGCATCCAAGAATGCCCTGGCTGCGTGTATTACTGCCTCTGCTCCACCTGGCACTGCCACGCCGTACTAAATTGGCAGGAAATGTTCGCGGGCAGCTTCTCCCATGGCTATCAGGGCTGCCTTGGCTGTCAGCCTTGTCAAACATTCGCCTATCGCGATTGGCCGGGCTCCTCCCCCAGGCTTGGCCAGAGCTATGAGCCGTGACGCAGTCAGGATTTTTGCGACCGGGCCTGGCAAATTCCCTCCGAGCATGGTATTGACCAAGGCGTGCAGATGGGTGCTAACCATTCCGTTGGTGATCGCCGCGTCGCGTAGGTGCTCAAATGTCGTACCTGAAGGTCCGGCCCCCACCCCGTTCTCGCACCTTCCAAGAATCTTGGCGAACTCAGCATGGGTGATGGACAGTTTTGACTCTGGTGGCTCGGGCCAGGTCACTGCTTCGGGTACTGCTAGCGGGTGCTTCTGACGCAGCTCTTCCAATATTTCCTGGCTCGGGGTGCAGACGGGTGTTGACTCCAGGGCCAGCACGGCCCTGCGTAGGCTGCCACGTTTCGCCAGGCCCTCGGCTCGGCTGATGACTCCGGTCGTGTCAGGCTGGTGTCGTGGCGGTGGGGGTGTGTTGACCGCGTCGACCGCGTTCTGGTACAGCTGCCCCCATTCGCCGCGCTGAAAGGCTCGGAGCCGGGCTTTGACCCCCGGCCAGTTCGGTCATTGTGGCGAGGTCTGGCGAAGTGTTAGGCGCGGGAGGAACAGCAACAGGCGCCACCCCTCCTCGGATTCAGGGTTTCGTGATAGGTGGAGTAACGGTGTCAGTAGCGCCAGCGAGAACAGTTGGCACAGATTAGGCGGTAAACGGCGTGTCAGCGAAGGCTGGCGACTGTCGCAGAGTGCCGCGATGTCCCAGCTCAAGATGGTTGTGAACAGGTATGCTCGCTTCGCCAGTTCGTCAGGGGAAAAATAGCGGGGAGTCGGAGTGGTTTGGCGCGTCGCGACATTGGTAGTAGCGGTCCGATTTCGTCGAGCGCGGCCCGTCCGCCCTAGCAGGATTGGGGTTGGAATTTCACCCGTTCGATGGACATCGGACGGTCGCTGATCCGCCTGTGCTGCTTGCGTGGCCGAGAGCCCTACCCTCGCTACTCCTCTTCCCGCTGCCTCCCTTGTACTGCCTTCGTCCTCGATCCCCTCGTCTTCGCTTGGAGGGAGGGATTCTTCCCTATAAGATGGGTCCCTTAACTCGTCATCCTCATTAGTTGCCTCCAGAGCCGTTAAAGCCCTACGCCCCGCCGCTTGATACCCGTTTTCCGGACCTCCGCCTGTCCCGCTCGTAACCTGCCTCCTGGCCCCGCTGCCTCCCCGCTCTCCAGATGGTGATTGCTGGTGCATCTGAGCCATCGCCAGTGCGCGCTGTCGCCTGGTCGGCTGTGGTCGCCCAGCCTCAGTCGGGGCCCGGAAAGGCGACCATGCAGACGGAGCCCCCTGTACCGCCGGCTCCGACGCCCTCGACAACAGTCGCTGAAAAGACTCTTCCCCACGCACCCGCGGATCCCCTTGCCGTGTCGGGGGCTGGCCCGTCTGTTCCTGTGGCTGCTCCGTCCGCTCCGCCGGCTGCTCCTGTTCCCCTGGCCCTCTTCGTCGAGACGTTGGTGCCTGCTCCTGCTGGGGGTGTTGCTGATCCCCCAGTTCTTGTCCCTGGCGCACCCATTGCACCGCCTGCTTCCGTCCCCGACGCGCCTGTACCGGCTTCTGTTCCGTCGACAAATGCGGCGTCCGCCACCACTGGCGGCCCGGCTCCGTCGGTTGCGCCCTCAGCGGCGGGGCAATCCGCGCCTGCTGTGGCGCCGGTGGCCCCGGCAGGTCAGCCGTTACGTCTCCCGTCGCCTGACCGCCGACCGTCTCGCCCTCATTCCCCCTCGCCCCACCAGGATCGCAAGTCGTCTCGTCGCTGTCGAGATTCTCCGCGGCGATATCAGCAGCAGCCTCACTGGCCTGCTCGCCCCGGTGGTCAGGGGGACTGGAGGGGTCCCCGCGGGCGCGGTGGTGGTGGGGGGTACCGCCCGCCGGTGACGATGGCAGATCTTCAGCGGGAAGTGTCGAGGGCGGTACGTGAGGAGAGGGCGTCGCAGAGCCAGAGCAGTTCGATGCGCGCCTCGCCGGCCCAAGAGGCTCCACGCCAGCCTGTGCTCCCGTCGAGTCCACCGCCTGTCGCTGCACCCCCTCCACAGGTTCACATCCCAACGGCTCCTGCTGCGTACGCGCCCGCCTCTGGAGCGCGTCTTCGCTTGCCGCCGGTTCCGCCTGTTGCGGGGGTGGAATTTGCGGCCGCTGGTGGCGGCGCGTTTGCGACGCAGTATTTGCATCCCGCTGATGAGGATCAGCCGATCCTGTTCCTGGCGGAGGCGCTTCAGCCTCCGCAGACTCGTGTTCCGTAGGCGACACTCGGCCAACTCCATCGCCTCGCTGAGAGTCTTCACGCGCTGCTGCTGATTCAGGTGGTTGCACATTCGTCTCTCCCCGTAATCCGTCCTGAGTCATTCCGTGGCCGCCAGCGTGACACCTGCCTGGACGCGGCAGACCAGCTCGCAGTGCTCCTGGCGCCCGTGCTGGCTGCGCCCGCGGAGGGAGGCGCTGCTGCTGCGGGACAGCTTGACGAGGCTGTCCGGGGCCTGAGGCGGCACTTGCGCGCTGGATCTGGAGCCGCGGCGATCGG